TCTCAGGATGGGGTAATGATGAAGAAACGAAATTATGCAGGGATGTAGGAGTATTAGGGGCATTAATAGTATTAAATTTTCGTGTTTAAAGGTTGAGGGAATGAGGAGATAGTGGGAGGTTATGTATATTTCGAATGGGGTCGGACTTAATGAAGATTTTATTCGTTATTAGTATTTACAACGTTTTATAAAACTCATCTCTTCCCTCAAAATTAAGCTTTATGCCATTTTATAATAAATAAGAATATAAAAATAATTTATAATAAAATCTCATAACAGATGGCGCCATACACAATTTTATTCATTATAATTAATAATGTAAAAGTTATTTTTAATAAAATCTCATGAGAGTGGGAAAGTTACGCAACTCGTTGCTGGAATTCTTTTTTTCTTATCTCTTCTTTCGTTTTTCATGTTAATAGTGTAGTGTTTTTACTACTATTGCTTTACTTTTCGTGAAAAACGAACGAGAGAGATCGTAACAAAACTGAGTTTATTGTCTTCCTCGCGTATATGGTACAGTTCTTGACGATGCGGCTAATAAAAGAACAACTAACAGTCAACGATCTTACTGGGTGAGTTCGAACTTGTTCCAGGAAGTGATGATTCGTACACCCGGGGTTCGTTGCTTGTTTTTTTACGACGGTTAATCTTTTAATACTAGTTTATTTTATTTTAACATTCACCTCGGATGAAAAGTCGGGAAAGTACAAAGGATAACTGCGAATTTTATCGAAGTTTCATCAGAGTTTATATATTTTTAATATAATTTAAGTAAAATGTTTTGTTTTGTACTTTATTTACCCGTATTATTATTATTATTATTAAAATAGTTTCAAATTGTGAGACTCACCAATAATTTAAATTTTCATAAAGAAAATAAACCTATATCCAAATATCCCTTGTAAAACACAGTAGTTACGTTCGGAAAAAGTGCCGTGCTATATGAAACAAGAGACTAATGCAAAACATGGAATTCGGTTCCAAAAGTTAATACAAGTATACTATTGTTTTTCATTACTAAAAGAAATACATTAATTAAAGCAATCAATAAATAAATAACAATCACAATTAAAAGTATAGTATTACGTGTTAACATTAATTTTCTTTTTACGTAATATCGTAATTTTCTGATCTTTTCTGTTGATCTTAATCAGAAATATCAACAACAACTTCATTTTCTTTTATTTTCATCATAAAATTTTTATGAGTGACAAAATAAAAATAGAAATGTTATTCATCGAAAATTTGTTCTAGCGGGTCGCTTTTGTTCAGTCGAGTACCGAGCGACTTTTTTTTCCAGATTTTGTGTTCGAATACCGAATTGTTCGAGTACCGAGATACCGCCTTTCGTTCGCCATCTTCAATGCGAAATAAACCATATAAACTGATGTAAAATTTAACAACAAGAACAGTCATTTTTATTCTTCAAACTATTTATATTATTATAAATAATTTTAAGAATAAAATAAAATATTATTTATAAATTTATATTAGCTGTAGCCTATAATAAATTATGTAAAAAATGTTTTTTTTATTTATGTTTAAATTCACTAAGGTACTGTAATAAGAGGCTTAAAAGATCGGTCCGTATTACCTCGGATAATTTGGCTTATACTGTATATATTGTGAAATAATATGTTTTATTCTTAAGAATTTTATCATTTTGTCACAAACTTGGCAAAACATTATATTGATTATGTAAAAAACTAAGCCAATTTTGTTTGACCTAACTAAAATCTCATATAATAAACGGGCTATAAATGACCTATTGAGAAATCTCTTTCGAATGAAAAATGATAAACTAAAATATCTTTCAAATATACTATAAGAAAGATGAGATAAACATTTTTTGAATGAAATATTCGAATTGTACTTCGAAAATGTTAGCTAAACATAAAAATACGATACATTTCGCACGTAAACTTAATTAGAGAATGAATATTATGGCTTAAGTTAGTGAGTTAGTTAATTTTGAATAGTGCAGTATTTGACACCATTCAAAATTAAGCATATCGTGATAAAAGATACATTAAGTAATTTCATTAAGATATTATTCTCAATCTTCTATTAATTATTTATTTTAATTAAGAATTATACTAACCATAGTCACCTAGATACCTACCAGGCCGGAACCTAATATATAGTGATGTAACAAGAGGAGCGCATATTGTAAATAGTTATTCCTGTCCAAAACTCTATATTTTGAAAAGCAAAGTTCATGTTTTGTTAACATTATTTGGTAATATAATTTAAATAGCTCCAGATTTATTAAAATGTCAAAAACTATTGAAATTTCAGCTTATGTACTGTACTGTACTTAGGTTATTTTATAAAATTTAATATCACATTTCTATCAGTAAATTGTCATAAATATTGAAGGCCTAGAAATTACTTATCTTGATCTTCCTTCTTGTGTTATGACAAAGAAATGACAAAAAGTTCCTATCTTGAGGCAGCACAAACAAGATTGATGGCCGAACGGCCAAGCGGTCAAGATGACAGCCTGCCGCTCTTGGGAATCCAGAATCGAATCCGGACGGGTCGAAATTTTTCACGAGGTGATACATCCGGATATGTTGGGTCCCGGTCCCTCACCACCCGGCTGCCCCATTGTGGGCCTGGCCGAATCCATAATGGGCTTGCTAAAAAGAATGCCCACAGAACGGAAAGAGTTAAAATATATATTGCTTTTATTTAGTGTGGCAGCTGGTAGAAAAATAAATTGTATAAAAAACGTAAATCTAAATGATCATATTTCAAGTCGGCAAATTGTTCAATTTTAATCACACAGTCAAAGAAAAGAAATAATACTTCCCCGAGACGTTCCGATTCAAAATGGCGTCGAAATACAATGAAGAAAAGTCGGAATTTCTGGAGATTTCTTCTTCGAGACAATGTCCAATAGTAGGAAAAAATAACAATTGGAAATAATTGTTAGATAAATGTGACGTCTCATGCATATTACGTAGAAATTTCTACGTCAAGGCATTAAACTACTACTACAGATGTCCAATATTATGTATAATTTTCAAAGATTTTCCAGTTTATTGCGACGATTAATTCAGAAATTAATAAATACACGAATTAGAAATTTATATCAATGTCAAATAATTGACATCTCACAACCTGCTATGTTATATTAAAAAGGTTATTTCCCCATCTTTATTATATTAAAAAACGATTAATTCAGAAATTAATAAATACACGAATTAGAAATTTATATCAATGTCAAATAATTGACTGATATAAATTGTTAAGTATAGAAATAAATAACTTTAAATTCTAAGTCTTTATTCGTATATAATTCTAACCAGTAAACATAATTATAGCAAGCGAATTTTGTCATATTTCTTATTCTATTTTATATCTTATCTTCAGTTTCTTACATCAGCTATTTCTTAAATCTTTAATATAATTATTCACAGAAAAGTGGAACAGTTTTATAAGATACATTTCTCAAAATGTTTTGATGAAAAACGATTTTTATCCATTCATTAATTAAATAGATTTAATGAATATAGATTTTATGAATAATGTCGAGAACTTCTTATTATAAGAAGCTGAAGATAATATATCAGTTTTTTAAAGCACTTTTTAAAATGATTAATCTAATATATCTACAATTGCATAAGGTTACTTAAGTTACCTGCAATAATTCTGAAATCAAAATTATTTAATGCAACCAGTACTTAAATTGATAAAATATATTTGATAACTTACAATTTCCTTTAGATAAAATTACAACTTATTGTATTTAGTGTTTTATAGTATTTAGTTTTCCTAAATACTATAAAACACTGACTGTATAAACTAAGAAATTTTGAACACAAAATTTCTTAGTTTATACAGTCGAGTCCACTTAACACCGGATAACGAACGGAAAGAGCACACTCCGATTTTCTTTCCTGTCTTTTACATTAGTGAAACTCCTGTTAACAGAGCACTGGATAACCGTCCGCATAAGGGTGCACTATTCTAGAGAAGATTTATAAGAGTCTATCTTTAATCACACGGTACAGTGATCGACCAGGGCACGTGGCAACAGAGCTCTCTATACTATAATAGTGAGATTTTGTGAAATCTTCCATTAGTCAGTTTTCTAATATACAGCGCGGATCACATACACCCTCATCTCGAGAGGACGCGAGGCAAGAAGTGATTAACGACTAGATTTCGGAGTTTACACTACTTTAAGGCGGTACTGTACTTATTCGTTTTTATACTGTACAGTACGTGCCATTCGACAATAGTATAACCAGAAAATTTTAAGCAGAATGTTCGCATCTTTTCAGCTAGATCTATGTATTTCTGGATATAAATGAAAATAATGTGACTGGTAAATATACTGTTTTTACTGATTATTCGATAGAATAACAAAATTGATAATGTAAAAATGGAAACCAATATCATGTAAGTGTAGTAAAGTTAACTTTTTGAAGTGTATTGTAAAAGTTACGCAAAGCACCTAAGACACGATAAAGTGGCGCGAATCGAATACCATTAACAATCCTCTGAGTGATCTTGTTACTTCGGATAAGGGAACATAACGCAGCTATCTTGCAGGTGCTCGACTGTACGAAAATTAGGCCTATTTTAAATATATTAAAACATTTAAAATAATTTTAAATTACTAAGTATTTTAAAATAAGTTTTTACTTAGATGACCGCTTGAGGGAAAAAAGCGCGAGAGATTTGAAAATGAAGTTTTATTTTCGTACTTTTTATGAATATAGTGAATCGGGGAAAGAGATCAAATTTTTGTTTTTGATGGAAATGCCAAGTGCAATTTGTTTGTTTTCATGCTTTAAAAGCAAATACTAAATTCTGGAAGCTATTTCAAAAGTACGTACTGGCATAGAACAATAAAAGATTAAGCTCCGTTTTTATTTTCCCGGTTACAATATATAGGCCTTTATAGCAGAAGGAAGTTCGGCGATCGATCAAAAAATGGTTCCCTCCCGAAGATTTTCACATTTTTGGACTCAGGGAACCTCGAAATGCTTCAGGTCCCTTTGAAGTCCAAAAATGTAAAAATTTTGAGGGGGGTCGTTTTTGAATCATATTTTCTCAATGTTAGACTATATATAATAGAGTCGGAAAAGTAAAAATATTAAAAATGAAAAATTAAGATATAGAAAGTAATATACTTTCAATTATTTCTAATTGTTTTCATTTTACAAGAAGCACTTCTAAACGATAAGAGGATGTGATATTGTTTTATCTCAATGAAATTTCTTTCTTTACTTGATAATTTTCGTTTACTTTTAATTTAAAAGTTTCAATTTTAATTNAAATATAAGTTATATATATATATATATAAATTATATTTTATAGGGCCTGGCTTATACAGGAAGAGAAAGAGAAGTTTTAAAATTGAGAGGACTTCTACCTCCAGCTGTTAGAAGTTCAGAATTACAAGTAAAAGCGGTTTTAGAAAACTTAAAAGGTTACGAGAATGATCTATCTCGATATCTATATTTGAGGCAACTTCAGGTACTGAATTATACTTAACAAATACTGAATTATTTATTTTGAAGTGTTATTTTAAGATAAATAAAATAGGATTAAAAAAAAACAAAATTTTTTTTTCCAGAAATAATTATATACCTTGACAAATTCGACCACACCTCTTATCAATGTTTTCTCTTTAATAATATTATATTTTTAGAAGATACTTAATCTTTGAACTATACTTTGAACTATTCACTTTCAGACTTTATATTTTTATTACATACATTTATTATTTTTTAGGATGACAACGAAAGATTATTTTATCGCGTCTTATGTGAGCATACCGATTTGTTAATGCCTATAGTATATACCCCTACAGTTGGATTGGCATGCTTAAAATACAGTGTTCTGTTTGAAAGACCAAGGTAATAATAAATATTATAAATCTATAATAATAAAAAATAGTAGTGGATTTTATCACTTTATTGTAATAACTAACCGTAAATTTTCGAAATAATTGCGTAAGCGTTATATCTCAATATCCGCTTGAATGTTTTCATTTTAATATATTAACATTATTTCACTCCAGGAAATTTTAACAATGACTTTTTTTTTTATCCTTGTACAAATAGTGATTTGTTTTATATGCAATAATAAATAATGAACTGAATCTAAATTGTTTCATTTATTGAATTTATAAATTAATAATTTTCTTCTTTATTCTAAAGTTAGGACATAATAGAACACATGCTTAGTGTGTCTGAGTATAGTTATTGTTATAAAGTGTGAAATTACATTGTAATATTTCCTATGAGGCTGTTATCAGGTTGTTGTCTGATTTATAATTTATAAGAAATCATAAAGAAATATAATTTACTTGTTAGAAGATATAAAATAAAAGATTTAAGAATTAAAAAATATAAATTCTTCTTGATAGAAAATCTTGTTTTTATGGGTGTATGATTTTTATCATAAAATTTAACAGAATATTATAAAAAATAAACTGGAATGTTAATTATTACTCTTGAATGAAGTGTAATTCTTTGTATAATAATTATACTTTGATTAAATTCTATTTTTAGAGGATTATATCTTTCCGTGCACGATTCCGGTCATATTTATAATATTTTAGGAAATTGGCCAGAAAAAGATGTTAAAGTAAGTGCTAAATTCAGTGTAATTTTTTTTAATAATGAGTATATTTTACAGTACAAATCATGTACACATTTCTTACAACAGGCGATTGTTGTAACCGATGGCGAGAGGATACTGGGTCTTGGTGATTTAGGTGCAAACGGTATGGGAATATCTGTCGGTAAATTGGCATTGTATACTGCTTTAGCAGGTATTCCTCCATACTTCACACTACCTGTAACATTAGACGTCGGTACAAATAATGAAGTAGGTATTTTTGATTGCATCAGTCTGATATTAAGATATTGTAGATAATGTTACAAGATATATTTTTAGTATATATCTATAATTATTATATTAATTAAACCTTTCTATATACGTGAAAATAACTTTTTATTCGACTCTGTATGTTTCAATTTAAAATACCAGATAACAAAAGCTATGAATTTTTCATTTTTATTTTTTTATAAAATAGGGATTACTTGCAGATCCTTTTTATATTGGTCTTAAACAGAAAAGGGTTAGGGGACCAGAATATGACGATTTTATAGAAGAGTTTATGGAAGCTATAGTCAAAAAGTATTACATATTTTGTTTTTATAATTATAAATATCATAAACATATATAAATTATAAGTGTTTTTCAATAGATTTGGTCGATTCTGTTTAATACAATTCGAAGATTTCGGTAACAGTAATGCATTCAGATTACTAGAAAAATACAAGTATCATTATTGTACTTTTAACGATGATATTCAAGGTGTGTAGAACAAAATTCGAAGAATTTCGTATAAAGATTTATTTAAGAATGATTCATGTATTTAAATATTTCTCTTAGGTACAGCTTCCGTCGCTGTTGCGGGTATTATTGCAAGTTTAAAAATAACAGGAAAAAAATTATCACAGAACATATTTTTATTTCAGGGTGCTGGTGAAGTACGTTTGGCTATTTTATTTATATTTATAATAATAATAATAACGTTGTTATTATTTTAAAAAATTATTTATTTCTGTAAAATAGGCAGCGCTGGGAACTGCCGATCTACTAGTTATGGCTATGGATCAAGAAGGTCTATCGAAAGACGAGGCTACTAGTCGAATTTGGATGATAGATTCTAAGGGTCTCATCGTTAAGGTATACCTAATTAATATTTCAATTGTATATATTATTCAAATGTTTAAAGATAAATTCGTTCACTTGGCTAAATGACAAATTCCCAAAAGGTAAATTTGCTCAAAATAGGTCAAGGAAGATTAAAATCTTTATTAAGTCTGCTCGTAAATGTAAGAAAATTAATTTTTATCGTATTTTACATCAAATAAACTCGATTTATTTTATGTTTTAGTTTCGAACAGCACTTTCTGATTTATTTTCTAATTTTATTTACGGTTATTTTGTGTGTTTATTGAACAATTACCTTGCTGTGTTATAGTTCACAAAATTGATTGCAGATGGCGCTAAAGGTTTAAGTAAAAGAAAATATTTTATTAATTTTTTTTTTTAATTATTTGTTTCATAGAATCGTCCAAGCGGTGGCATAAATGCACATAAAGGGAAATATGCCAAAGAATGTCATCCAATACAAAATTTAGAAGAAATAGTTAAATTTGTTAAGCCAACCGTTTTAATAGGTATTTTTGCATTTATTATACAATTTATTATTTATAATAATAAGTATTAAGAATTTCGTTTATAAACAGGCGTTTCAGCCCAAAAAGGTGTTTTCACACCGGCTGTATTGAAAGCCATGGCTTCCATGTCAGATCATCCTGTAGTATTTGCATTGAGTAACCCGACCGATAAAGCAGAGTGTACAGCAGAGGAAGCGTACACTTACACAGAAGTAATTCTCGTTGAATAAAACTAACGAATTTTGTACAATATAAACCTGAAATAATTAATAATTTTTTTTGGATAGGGTAAATGTGTTTTCGCTAGCGGTAGTCCCTTTCCTCCTTTCACCTACCAGGGTAAAACTTATCATCCTGGACAAGGAAACAACGCTTACATATTTCCTGGAATGGCTCTTGCAGTTACAGGTTGCGGCGTACATCACATTAATGACGAATCCTTTCTGGTAGCAGCTAAGGTAAGAGTAATTTATTACCGTATTACCGAATAGTTTGTATTTTGACTAACAGCTGGCGCTACCTTCTAGGCTCTGGCTAACCAGGTGACCAAAGAGCATATTTCAGAAGGTCGTGTATATCCTCCCCTCCAGTCTATACGTGATGTATCGCTTAACATCGCTGCAAAACTAGCTCAATATTTTTATGTGGAGAGTATGGCCACTTACAGACCGGAACCGGAAGATAAAGTTAGTTTCTTAAAGGGCAAACAATACGATTACAATTACGTAGGTTATAGTAACCGCCACATCAACCTGAATGGCTTATTTAGTCAGTAATGTAGTATAGAAATAATCTGATTTTTGTTACCTTTTTTTCTATGTTTATAAAATAAATAAATCAAATATTTTAATTCTATTATTTCAATTTTAACATTGACACAATTAATAAGATCAGGTGTGACGTTCACACCGTCTGCAAGAAAAACAAAACTCAATAAAGCCGCACTCTAGTATAGTTAGGGGATCAAAACAGATTGAAAGTTCGTTCCACTTCAAGTAAAAACGGAACGGGTCCGAGATCTAGAGAACCCAATGAATCACCTGTGTTACCAGTCACGTGTTGTTGAGTGGTTGAACACTGATCCTATCCCTCCTGCTTGATAGAAAATCTTGTTTTTATGGGTGTATGATTTTTATCATAAAATTTAACAGAATATTATAAAAAATAAACTGGAATGTTAATTATTACTCTTGAATGAAGTGTAATTCTTTGTATAATAATTATACTTTGATTAAATTCTATTTTTAGAGGATTATATCTTTCCGTGCACGATTCCGGTCATATTTATAATATTTTAGGAAATTGGCCAGAAAAAGATGTTAAAGTAAGTGCTAAATTCAGTGTAATTTTTTTTAATAATGAGTATATTTTACAGTACAAATCATGTACACATTTCTTACAACAGGCGATTGTTGTAACCGATGGCGAGAGGATACTGGGTCTTGGTGATTTAGGTGCAAACGGTATGGGAATATCTGTCGGTAAATTGGCATTGTATACTGCTTTAGCAGGTATTCCTCCATACTTCACACTACCTGTAACATTAGACGTCGGTACAAATAATGAAGTAGGTATTTTTGATTGCATCAGTCTGATATTAAGATATTGTAGATAATGTTACAAGATATATTTTTAGTATATATCTATAATTATTATATTAATTAAACCTTTCTATATACGTGAAAATAACTTTTTATTCGACTCTGTATGTTTCAATTTAAAATACCAGATAACAAAAGCTATGAATTTTTCATTTTTATTTTTTATTTTTTTATAAAATAGGGATTACTTGCAGNTTTCGCATTTGCAGACTAAAAATTTACAGGTCACAAGGTGTCAATTAACTACTATGGCCCGCGTAAAAAACGTAAAATTTATTCTTGCCCATGTTATAAAAAAGGTTGCCCACCCTTGGACTAGCCCACTAGAAACTCGAGAATTATTAAGGTACATTTATTAAAACCAATTTTGTTTTTAGTCCTAACAAAAATAAACCTTTGTCGTCCTAAAAGAGGCTAATTGCCTTACGTTTGGCGTTTTGATCGAGACACAAGGGAGCGCCTTGGCAACGTACTCAAAAGCGCCGTAAACTGATTACAATTTTGTGATAAATCTGAACAGATTTTTAAGAAACGGCTCATCAACGGGAATAAAATTTCCCAGCCATAGAAAAATTTGAGAAAATCGGATATTAAACTCGTTAACTTGAAGTCGGGGTGGTTTTTTTTTAATCTCTTCAACTTCCAATTTAACGAGGTTTTACTGTGTGATATACTGTGAAAAGTAATTTCTATACTTGAAATGTTGTGCAACACAATCTATTTTAAGTGGCAATGTGCTTGTCTTATCCTGACGTGACAAAACTGTTTCCTTTTTTGATAATTTTTTTTTCTTTTATTAAATAGTTCAGCATTTCGAATTAAATAACCGAATTTATTGATAAATTCGCTTAAGGTATTTGAAATATTTGTTTTTGGCAAATAGATTTAATGAATGAATAAAAATATTTTTACGTCATAAAATATTGATAAATGTCAATATTTTTTATTACATTACTAATTACTTATTAATATTTATCTTATAAAAACTTTCTCTTTCCTGTGAACGATTGTAGATTTATTAAAAAACAGCACATGATAAGCTCTTCCATAATATCGTTACATATTCTTTAAATTCTACTTAAGTGTTTTTTTTTTTTTTAAAGTTAAGTATAGAAATAAATAACTTTAAATTCTAAGTCTTTATTCGTATATAATTCTAACCAGTAAACATAATTATAGCAAGCGAATTTTGTCATATTTCTTATTCTATTTTATATCTTATCTTCAGTTTCTTACATCAGCTATTTCTTAAATCTTTAATATAATTATTCACAGAAAAGTGGAACAGTTTTATAAGATACATTTCTCAAAATGTTTTGATGAAAAACGATTTTTATCCATTCATTAATTAAATAGATTTAATGAATATAGATTTTATGAATAATGTCGAGAACTTCTTATTATAAGAAGCTGAAGATAATATATCAGTTTTTTAAAGCACTTTTTAAAATGATTAATCTAATATATCTACAATTGCATAAGGTTACTTAAGTTACCTGCAATAATTCTGAAATCAAAATTATTTAATGCAACCAGTACTTAAATTGATAAAATATATTTGATAACTTACAATTTCCTTTAGATAAAATTACAACTTATTGTATTTAGTGTTTTATAGTATTTAGTTTTCCTAAATACTATAAAACACTGACTGTATAAACTAAGAAATTTTGAACACAAAATTTCTTAGTTTATACAGTCGAGTCCACTTAACACCGGATAACGAACGGAAAGAGCACACTCCGATTTTCTTTCCTGTCTTTTACATTAGTGAAACTCCTGTTAACAGAGCACTGGATAACCGTCCGCATAAGGGTGCACTATTCTAGAGAAGATTTATAAGAGTCTATCTTTAATCACACGGTACAGTGATCGACCAGGGCACGTGGCAACAGAGCTCTCTATACTATAATAGTGAGATTTTGTGAAATCTTCCATTAGTCAGTTTTCTAATATACAGCGCGGATCACATACACCCTCATCTCGAGAGGACGCGAGGCAAGAAGTGATTAACGACTAGATTTCGGAGTTTACACTACTTTAAGGCGGTACTGTACTTATTCGTTTTTATACTGTACAGTACGTGCCATTCGACAATAGTATAACCAGAAAATTTTAAGCAGAATGTTCGCATCTTTTCAGCTAGATCTATGTATTTCTGGATATAAATGAAAATAATGTGACTGGTAAATATACTGTTTTTACTGATTATTCGATAGAATAACAAAATTGATAATGTAAAAATGGAAACCAATATCATGTAAGTGTAGTAAAGTTAACTTTTTGAAGTGTATTGTAAAAGTTACGCAAAGCACCTAAGACACGATAAAGTGGCGCGAATCGAATACCATTAACAATCCTCTGAGTGATCTTGTTACTTCGGATAAGGGAACATAACGCAGCTATCTTGCAGGTGCTCGACTGTACGAAAATTAGGCCTATTTTAAATATATTAAAACATTTAAAATAATTTTAAATTACTAAGTATTTTAAAATAAGTTTTTACTTAGATGACCGCTTGAGGGAAAAAAGCGCGAGAGATTTGAAAATGAAGTTTTATTTTCGTACTTTTTATGAATATAGTGAATCGGGGAAAGAGATCAAATTTTTGTTTTTGATGGAAATGCCAAGTGCAATTTGTTTGTTTTCATGCTTTAAAAGCAAATACTAAATTCTGGAAGCTATTTCAAAAGTACGTACTGGCATAGAACAATAAAAGATTAAGCTCCGTTTTTATTTTCCCGGTTACAATATATAGGCCTTTATAGCAGAAGGAAGTTCGGCGATCGATCAAAAAATGGTTCCCTCCCGAAGATTTTCACATTTTTGGACTCAGGGAACCTCGAAATGCTTCAGGTCCCTTTGAAGTCCAAAAATGTAAAAATTTTGAGGGGGGTCGTTTTTGAATCATATTTTCTCAATGTTAGACTATATATAATAGAGTCGGAAAAGTAAAAATATTAAAAATGAAAAATTAAGATATAGAAAGTAATATACTTTCAATTATTTCTAATTGTTTTCATTTTACAAGAAGCACTTCTAAACGATAAGAGGATGTGATATTGTTTTATCTCAATGAAATTTCTTTCTTTACTTGATAATTTTCGTTTACTTTTAATTTAAAAGTTTCAATTTTAATTTTAGTTTCTTCCCCGGAGTTAGTTTCATATTTACATAAAATTTTCTGAAATTCTATACAGATATTAAGCAAAATAGATTTTTAATACAGAGGCGAAATATAAAACTAATATAGATAATGGCTTCTTTATCTAATGAATAATACCTTGAACAAATTAATTTATAATATTAAAGAAATTTTATAATGTATTTCACAAACAGAAGTTTTCTTTTGTCCTTTTGTAAATAAATTTAATTAATTAAAAAACTTGCACTAGATTATTTTTTTAGTCGTTGGCATATTAGGGCTTTCAAACGATTCGGAAGAAAAAAAGTTTGCAAGAGCACAACATATTTAATTATGAAGGTAATAAAAACTAAAAAAATATCATCAAATGTTTTTTCAGTGTCTGTTTTTATACAGTAAAACAAATAATAATAATATAGTAAAATTCTAAATTAAAAATACATAGAATGATGTAATACAAAAAGTTTTTCTGCATTCATATTTTTGATACTAATCCAAACTCTCGTCGTAATTAATCAGGCTATTATTATGCTAAAGTTAATAATTAGAAACTAAATAATTTGGCACTAGAGGCATACTCAGGCGCTATCTCTTATCTAAATTAATGGTTATAATAATTTATTAAATAATTTAGAACATTCTGGAATAAATTTTTGATATTTTTCTTTCGTAACATTTATATTTTCTGACTAAATTCTCTTTGAAATGAGCAAAATTAAGTGAATTATTAGCACATGCTGATGAAAATAGTCATTATAAATTTATGTATTCAGCTGAAAGTTATTTACACAACTGGCATAAACTATCAGGAATCATACAATAAACAATCAGTTTTGCGTTGTGCAGCGGGAATACTGAATATTAGGAATATTGTATCGAAATTTTTCAATAGATCTAGGCTCATATATTTTTAAAAAAGCCCTCTTAGTACTCATCCTGTGGGATATGTTCGGTCTGTCTTATTACCCGACTGCACCCATTATGACCCAAATCCACGATGAGTATGGAAAGAAGGCTCTTTTATTGGGGAGAACCAAAAAGAAAATTTTAAAAAAAATCATATGAAGATAAAATATTGTTTTATTGTTGTGAAGTTAAAGTGTATTATTTTTTAATAAGATTCTCCCATTAACTATAAATGAAGGAAATGACTTTAAAAATTCTATTTAGATTACGAAATGTGCATTATTTTTAAATCCATATATAATCGATTTATAATTAGACAGATATTAAACATGACATGTTTAATATTTTTATGACACTGATTAAACTTACGACGACACACGTATTAGATTCTAATCAGTTTGATTATATGACACAATGGAAACATTAAATTTTTCTGTGATAATAATTTATGTTGAATTCCATTTGAAATTAAATGTTAAAAACTTCAAGAAATGTTTTTATATATAGTTATCTATTAAATCAAATCTATTATAGTTATCTATTATAAGTAGTTATATAGTTATCTTACAAGTTAGTATATAACACAGTAAAACGTGCATAAACCGGAATCGCACGATACCAATTTTTTTTTCTGCTTTGGCAGCTTCCGTTTGAACAGTTTAGTGTATTTTTTTCCATTTTTAAACTATATCAAGTAAATGCACGCAGTTGCGATCATTTTTATTGTAAAATTGCCAAATGCAAACGCAAAGCTTCCGTTTAAACATGTTTTACTGTATTGCATAATTTATATACTTG